GTCGATGAAATTGGGAAGTTCCCATCATTGCTTTCATGAACTCGATCAATTCATCCCCCTTGGTGAGCTGCCAGAGAGGGAGCAGTGCATCAGGATGCTGGGAGTTAACACCCTCCACTGCAGCATTTGCAGGGATGCAGCCAGGGAAGAGTTGGGAAGAGTCAGCAGATAGGTTGCACACCTGGCACCACGGTGAGAATTCCCAAGAGCAGCCTCTTGGGAAGGACTTCCCACTGGGGCAGACTGGCGGAGCTCTGCTTTGGACTCAGGGAGCTTGTCCTGCCTGAAGGGAAGAGACTGTGGTACAAACTGTGGGTACCTCTAGTGACAGTGGGATTTCAAATGACCTAAACTTGTTTCCCTGGAGTTCTCACCTGAAAGCTGCAGCAGCAGAAGGTACAAATGGGGGAATTCTGAGGCATGTGGCAGTTGCAGTCCAGAAACTCAAGCCTACTTTCAGTAGCTTGGGGCTGACTGGCTTGTTGCACCCGGATTTTGGTCATGGAAGGGCATGAGGGCAAAGAGCTTTGTCCAGTGTCATAAACATTGTTCTTCCATGGGATGTGTGTGGATGAGGTACCTCCCAAGCTGCGCAGAAGAGATGGGTGAGACCTATAACTGCTCTTGCAGCAGTGTAGCCCAGGGTGGGTGCATAACTGGGTATCTTGGACAAGGAACCATCTTGATGCGGTGGTTGCCAGCAGAGGTGGATCCTTTTCCGAGGCATTAGGCAAGATGTGCAGAACAAACCTTCTCTCTGGGCGGCACTTCGGCTGATGCTGCTCATAAGGCCGTGTTAACTTTGATGTTAGTGGAGCAGCACAATAATCTGCCCTTGGTCTTTCTTATTTGGCAACTGCAGATAAGCCCAAAATGAGCTGCAAGGGGGTGTTTGCTCTGAATATAAAGTCTTAATGCTGAGAAACTGATTGAAAATGGGTGTTTCTGAAGTCCTGCTGGAAACTGGCATTCAAACAGTGAAGAGCTACCGGAGCAGAAATGGTTTAAAAAAAAATCCCCAAACCCAACCAATCAAAAAAATCCGCAAGCAAACCCACTCTACCCTCACCCCACCCTCTCCCCCGGCACCCTCTGAAAAAAAAAAAGCAAACCCAACCCCCCAAAATAAAGAAACAACCCCCACCCCCAACCAGTTACACTGCCAAGATGTTTTTCCCTGATAAAAATATCCCTAAGTGAAGCTAAACCCATTAGGAAGGAGGTGATCCTGTCTGCAAAACATGTCATTAATGGGAAGAAAAACAACTTCCAGAGTGGACAAGGCATCTCAATTATTTTTATCTCTCCATAGATACATTCCTGTGCAGGCACAGTCTGTGAAGGAGTGAAATGTGGGAACATCAGAAAATGGGAGAATTTTCATTGGAAAAGGAGTGTAATGTACATCACTAATTGGGGTGTGAATCATTTGGCTGCTTATTGGACTCCCTTCCCCATTCTCTTCCTTCAGGGTCCCTGGAGAGAGAAGAGGTGAATGGCCTCTGTGTCTGTGTCCTGCCCACCACAGTGCTGGCCCAGATTGGTGGCTTTAGGATTTTGTCCCTGGGACTCCTCATAATCTCTTGGGTTTTCAGCAGATGAGAGTTTCCCTAAATTTCATGTTATGCTCCCATTTTCTCCTGCATTTTTATAGTTGCTCCTTCATGATTATTTTTATCCTGATTCCTGTTTTTCTAGCAGAATGTGCTGAAAAATAGACCCAGTGAGAGCTGTCCTACCAGGGATAGCATCATTATATGCTGTTTACTTTTCCAAAATTTTAACTGAGCCATGAACAAAAGAATCTTTGCAATATCTCGTCTTTCCCTCAGCTGCTTTTCTCAGTGGCATATTGCTCTTCAGCTGTCTGGCATAACTTTTTAAATTAGGATTAGCAAGGTGCTATCCTAAATGCATTGCTAAAGCATCAGGATCATCTCTCTTACAGATCCAATCCTCCAATACAAATTCCTATGGAAATTAATGGGCTGTTTGGATTCCAGTGCAGGATTGAGACTTTATAGTGTAAATCGATCAATATAGTGTAAATCGATCAATACAGGCAATCAAGTGAGTCAGGCAAGGTTTATGCTTAATACACTCTTGCTGTCATCCCTCATTATTCTGCTCAGGTTTGTGTAACTTAAGCACACACAAGCAAATCCTTCAAGCCATATGGCTTTGCTGGGTTCTCTCCATCCCTTTACTTCACATTTCATACCATTGCTGGTTTTTTTTGGAAGTTGTAGTTATGCAGTAGTAATTAGGATGGAAATCCTTCTCTCTCTCTTTTTTTTTTTTTTTTTCCTTCCCCTCTTAGAGTTTTGCTACTGAATATGGTTCTGGTTTTGGTATCCAAGTGTGTTTGGGCCATTCTGGCCTTTTCCCACATGTTGATGTGGGTATAATAGGTGGACAGGATGCTGCTGTAGTGGGAATATGGGAGAGAGATGGGAGTGGTCACTGGACTAGTGTGGGGTCAGGACCTGGGTCTCTCTCTTCTTTTCCTTGTCCCTCTCTACTCTGCCAGGTTGGGAGCTGCTCTCACCTGGCCAGTCTGACTGGATCTGGCACCCTCTCTGCTTCCTTCAGGAACAGGGCAATCAGCCAGCTGTCTTATATCAGGGAATTGTTTCACTTCTCTGTAGGAATAGAGGTTTTGGTGTTTTACTTCTCTGTAGGAATGGAGCTTTTAGAGGGTTGAAAATGTGGAAAAAACCCAAAAACCTGTTTTAAAAATGCATTTCCCCTTCCCAAACCCTCCCACCTCATGGCTGACTCATGGACAGGCACTTCAGTAGCAAATAACATCTTTTGTTTTTGTCCTTCAAATAGATTTCCCAGCTCTAAATACCTCTAAACTACTATACACTTCCTTGCTTCTTCTCTTCCAGTTCTTCCAAGGTTTTACTGAAAAATGCTATTTGAGCTTAGTTTTCTTCTCTTCCTGTTGGCCTCCCCTCTAATTCCACACCCAAATACGCATACAGAAATTATCTCGTGATTCAGGACAACACACAGCTCTTCACATCTGCCATGAGCCATCTGTATGACCTCAGGCAGTTTACTTCTCTGTTCCAAACTCTCCACTGTGTGAACCTGCACATGATTTCGTTTTGAGTTGAGGAGAAATGTTAAGGATGACCACACACCAAAGTAGGACTCTAATTGCTTGGCTTTGGCTCCAGTTGTAAACAGTAACAACTGTTCTGATCTCAGAAGCGTGTGGCAGCAGTTTATTACAAGGATTTATACTGAGCTGTGGTGGCTTGTCTGGCCAAACACATATGTCATACAGAAGTATGTTTTCTTCCTCAGATGGTACTGATCTGCTTCCCTGCACAGCCACAGCCTGTGCTCAAGTCCCTCATCGCTCTGCTCTGCTTCACTGACTCATTTATCCTCTTTGAAACCTTGCAAATGGCTTTTCTCTCCAAATTCTTCTCTTTTTCACTGGAGAGCAAGGCTCACAGCTTCTTCCCACGTAAATCACATTCCAGAACTTTGATGTCATCTTTATTTTCCTCTCTTGAGTCTCCTGAGAAACCCTGCACAGAATGATTACCTTCATCTTATCACTTCTCTGGGAGAGACCTGAGCAGGGCTGCTTCACTGGACCCTTTAGCACCAATAACAACACACCTCTGTGAGCGCCTCAAAGAGCAGCTTCTATATGGTCTGCCAAGTCCCACCTGGGCTGAGGAAAGGCTTTCACTAATAACACTGCATTTTTTTCTGAAGACAACAGGGAAAGGGTGAGGGTCTGGCAGTATGGTTTTATCATTGACACAGCTACCCTGTGAACTGTAGCATCAAGCCTAAAGAATTTCAATAAAGCCTCAGACTTGATGTTTTTCAACTTTCCCTGGATGTTTACTCCTTAGGTTCATACTGAGGGGCTTTAATAACAGCAAACTGACTTCCAGAGGTTTGAGTGACCTGGCCTTCCTCTTGTCTCTCCTGGAGCCACGTTATTAAAATAAAACCCTTTCAGCTATTTTGTTGAGATATGAAAGGGTATTAGTGGTGTGCTGACTGGAGTACCTGCTGTCTTATGAACCATCCTAAAGATGGCAAGAATCCCTCTGGGGATTCCTGTATGGGGGATCTGAAATGATCTATTTATAATTTTCTTACCTTGACAAAACGCAGGGAGTGACTCAAATATGTCCCATCCTTATGGAAATTAATTGTGTTAATGGGATCATTAGAATTTAGTGTCAACAAACTGGTTTTTTCAGCTAATGATGGTTCTTGGGAAGATTATGTCATAAGGAAGGCGGAGAATCTGGTCATCTATATATATGTGATCAGACCTGAGCCCTTTCTTTGGGTTTCATTGAGCAATGCACTAGTAGAGTCAACACAGGCAAACAGCTGCCACCCTCACCATGAAAATAGGAGGTGCCTCGGTGGTCCTTGCTCTGGCATTTTTCTGCTTCTTCTCAGGTTAGTAACTTCTGATGTTCTCTGTGCTGAATCTGGGACTGGCAGAGGACGCAGCCTGGGAGATCCCATAAAAGCAGTGGGATAAAGGATTAGAGCCCTTGTTGTTTAAAAAGCATAGTGGCATAACAGAAGGTCACCCTTTTTTTTGCTGTACTACGTGTGTTGATTTCATGTTACGTCTTGATAACGGCTTTTTCTCTTGTGTGTAAAAATAGTGACGTTTTATTGGTAGGTAAAAGCATCTATTTTAATAGCATTAACAGCTTAAGAACAACAAAAAAACCCAAACCAACCCAAACCCCATTTGTCTAAGTGGAAGAATACCAATTTCCAAACAGACTGAATTTTTGCATAAAAAGCCCAACTTTGAACACAAATATAATACAGTTTTTTGTAAATTCAGGAAAATGGTAATTTCTTGTCAACACGTGCTAAGAAATGCATTTTTATATGGCTGCAATAATTTGGCTACAATAGAGAGACTTCAGCAGGAGTTATGTTTGATGCAATGGTCTTTCAATTTACTGCCTGTTTCTATTGAAAAAGAGATAATGGAGGATTTCTTGATGGTTCCCTGCGATGCTACTGATGATGTAAAAGAGGATGAAACATATTATACGAGCTTTAAGTGGTTTAGTAGAAAGAAATATGTATCAGCTACTCACCTGCTGACTCAGTATTAATTTAGTAATTTGTGCGAGGTATTGCAAATGGAATGGGCTTGAAAAGGAATTTGTCATTTTGGACAAACAAGAATGGTATGGCCTAGCTCTGATATCCCAGTTTTAAGTGATGGTGAAGAAAGCCAAAAATATTTTGTGAGTTTGATACAACTACCAAGACAGGGTTCTAGAATAATGGAGAAACAGTTATTGAACCATCCTTGGATTTTAAGCCTGAGAAAAGTAACACAGTAAAGGAGGGCATAAAGGCACGAAAAAATGGATGTGCTTTTGCATTTGAATGACAAAAAGTGCAATGTTCCAGAAACTCTCTAATGCCCAGTCCCTTCTATCAGTGTAAAATAATGCATTGGATTAGCTTTTATCAAGAGGTATTTGGGTGGATTAGGAAACTGCATTATTTTAATTAAATGCTTTTGCTTTAAAATTTCCCTTCAAAGATTTTTGTATGGTTTCATTGTTGGTTTTTCTATCGCAGATGTTGCCAGCCAAGCTTCGATTAAGGCGAGTCCAACCTTTTCTATTCTGATTCTCCTTTTGTTTTGTCAACTTACCCTGCTTAATGCATGCTCTGAGCAAAGTCATTTAGATGGACTATACTTAGGCATCATAGTGCTTTTTCAGGGGTGGAAAAAGCAGTGAATCTCTCCATATTTAGAGACAATACTTTTGTAATACAGTAATGGCTCTAGCTGGCAGTGTGTGCTTGGTGCATGATGCTGAGAACATATTTAAACAGCCCTGGGCTGGAAATCTCATGAAATGAAGTTAGAAATGGCATGAATTATATTTTTAATGATATTTTATAATATAGCTTCTGATCTAGCAGAAACTCCTGCTTCTGATAATTCCTGAGTTTCATAATTAAAAGAATTAAGGCAAGTCCTTTGAGTCTCAGAAAATAATTTGATTCAATGACTGAGAAGTCAGTTCCATTCATGTTTTAATCAAGCAAGCTTGTCTCCTTGGTAAAGATCCTTTTGGAAAACAGAGTAGCCAAAAATAACTAAATGGTTCATTGCTTCTCCCTCGTCTGCATTTCAGTTACCCAGCAGACGAGGCAAAGGGCTGCTGCAGCATCACGTAATATTACTGCTCTGCTTCCTGAGAGGGTTGTGCTTTTCTGTGCTTGTCTTGCACCTAAATTGCTCTTTAGTCACTCTGGTCTGTTCATTCCTCTTGCATCTCTCTGGTACTTCTAGGCCTGTATTTTCTGCTCTTGAATAACTGTAACACAGAACCCTTCCCTGCAGCACGTAGCAATTTGCATCTGTACGCAAATTAAATATATGTTCTTTAAATTTGTATTCCTTTTCATGTGATTAATGTTTCTTGCAATGAGTTTTGGACTTCCTTGTTGCCTTCTCTGCGTTGAGAGCCCTGCTCACAGCTCCCAGTACAGCCTGTAATGTGTGGTGTGTGGTGAGGGACGGGCAGGAGTGTGGCAGCCCCAGGACTGGTGTGAGCAAAGTGGTGCTGTTTGAGAGCATGTAGCACACACAAAAAGGATTAAATGTGAATGAACTGCTCTCAATATCGTTGATGGGAGCCTCTACTGACTGTTCTCCTCTGTGCTTTTCAGAATGAGTGCAGGAAAATTTGGTCACTTCTGCGCAGTGGGAAGTTTTCCTGTCCCACCACCAAGGAGCCTTTCAGCAGCCCAAATAGCAAAGGAGACCTCAACAAGTGCATGATGTGCCAAAGGCTGCTGTGAGTATTGGCTGCCTGCTGGCTCCAGTGGCCATTCTGCCCATCCAACATGTTCTCTCCTCCCACTGTGACGAGCCCACTCTTGGGAGGCTTTGTGTTGTCCTGGGCCAGTCAGACCGGTTAGTAACTCTTCAGCAAACCTGTGAACCCAGTCCATCTCTCCAGCTCATCACATGGTGAGGACTCACCATGGGCTGTGAGGAGCAAATGCAGAGTGAAGACTGACACAGATTTAGTTTCTTGTTTCCGTAGATGGTGTTTATTAGGACGAGGGACCTGGATCTTAGGCAGGGGGAAAGGATGGCACCCCCAGTGCAGAGATGCTAAACACCCAGTGCTGGTCCATCCTGCTGCCTTGCGCAATGGGGAGGTGGGGTTGGCAGGACTGGCCTTTAATCACCACCTATCTTGGCTTTGTGTCCAAGGACTGCAGCTGCTCCGTCACTCACGCCTCCCTTTCTTGCAGGGAAAGAGACTCAAACAAAGGGAGTGGTGGAGAGGCGGACAGGAATGTGAACTCCTTGGGAAAGGTGAGGTGAAACATCACTGCTAAAGCCAGTTTTATTGGCGCACCGGGAGCAGGATGATGCAGTGGCTTTGTCTCTCCTGCCTCTGACCCTCTTCCCGAGTGCGCTTCCTTGTCTGCCGTGTGGGCAGTCCTGGCTTGGGCGATGGGAAAGGGTCCAGCAATGAGCCTGCAATGCGAACAGGGCAGATGTGCTCTGCCGTGGGAAGAGGGTCCGGGGGAGTGTGAGGCTTTGTGCCATCCACCAGCATAAAAGAAACCAAAACTCCTCACGGCTCCTCCCAGGCAATCTCGTCCCAATCGGGCAATTACTAACACGGCACATACGGTCTGTGCCTGACCCAGAGTACACGCCAAGGAGGATACCTGCCTGTTTATAAGGCACGCCATTGGTATCTAGCAAATAATTAATAGCAAGGTTGGCGCATGTGAGCTCTGACTAGGGCAGGGTGTGGGAACAGGCCGGCTCTAATTGTCCCTTGTTTATCTTGTCGATGCACCTGGCTGGTTTCTTTTACCCATAGCTGTTTTTCTAGATAGCAAGCCTTTATTGGAGGGAGCTGTCTTTTTAGCCTTGGATTTTTATTCTGGGTAGGAGTGAATTGGTTGTGGTGATTTATTTATTTATTTTTTACATCTGGTTAAGCAGGGTAGCTTTCTAGCTCTTGTGTGTCTGGGTAAATTAAAGGCTTTGTAAAGCATAGTTGTCCTAAGGGAGATCTTTTTTTAAACACCTGACTTGCCAAAGTGTGGTCCTGAAGGCAGACGGACAGTTTTACAGCGTCAGGAAGAGACCTACACTGAATTTCTTTGTTAAGCCATAGATTTTCTGTCTGGCTTTTGGCAAGTAATTTTCTAGGCTTGACTTCCCCATCTGCAGAGCTGGGATAAGTTATCAAACCATCTCCTCTACACAGTGTGAAGGGGAAAATGTATTACAGATCACATGGCAGATAAGGTTGTAAGTGCTGCATAAACGAACCTAAAGACTTCATATGTACCCTGGGTTTCTTATGCTGCAGAACTGCCCTGAAAGTTATAGGAAAGCTGTTCAGAGGAAAGTAAAGGCCAGGCTGAAATGCTTAAGCAGGTTTTGCTACAAAAGCCTTTTGTGAAATAGAGTGCTTGGGTTCAATTAACACATACCATCATGTTAAGTGGAAGGTAAAAACACCCACGTTCTTACTCTCATGTACCTGGGAATGTAAGATGAGCAAGGATTATACTTCTTTATGCCTGCAGCTTCATCTTTTTACTGTGCATGAATTTTAAAATTCTTGGTAGTATGTTCTCTCACGAGAGATGGGAAAACTGACTTTCTCATTTAAAATTCACTGAAATTGTAGATTTTATACTTAGAGTAGAACTTAGGTCCTTTGGGCAGGCTCTTGCACTTCTTTTCTATTAGCAATAGAAATAAGGCTACCCTGGATGTAAAAGACAGATCTGCTCATCTAAACATACTGATTTATTTGTTTTATGCTGCATATTATGGTTTTCCACTGAGTTACGCCTCAAGGAAATAAAATAGTGTTAGAAATGTATTTCAGTGGGGGAATAATCCTTTGTGGATTTGTGGTAGATGCGTCTCTGTCAGCATATCCATGTCAACCCATGCTTTTGGCGTTTGCACAGGATGACTGTCGGGAGTTTCGGGATCTGTTCAAGAAAGGGAAACTTTCCTGCACCAGAGAAAATGACCCTGTCCGGGATGCCTCTGGGAAGCAACACAGCAATAAGTGCATCATGTGTGCAGAGAAGTTGTGAGTAACCAAAAAAAAAAAAAAAAAAAATCACTTGCCCCTCCTGCCAGCTGATGAAGGGGAAAACCTCTCCTCCCTGGAGCACCCTGGTATTCACTTTCTCATCTTCCTTCTCTTCCAGCAAAAGGGAGAATGAGCGGAAGTTATCTAAAAACAGACAAGGAAAAGATAAGGTGAGATTAAAGTATTAGGCAGGTCAATATAGAACTTTATTGGATTTCCACCCAAGACAGACAAAAAGCAATGTTATTCTACTCAGTTGCTTGGTCTCCTCTGACTTAATTTTGAGATCCACTTTCCTTTCCCTCCCTATTTATTATTCATGCTCATGAATCCCTCAAGTAAACAACTTGTGCCTGAACGTCATAGTCTGTCCCACTGACCTGTGGATCTAAGTACAGGCAAACCCCAACAAAGTAGAAAACCAGCTGTGCTGTGCTGTCCTGAATCCTGGCTTGAAGGTGGAGATGTCAGTGCTGCTGATGGTGCTAATTAGGTAAAAAAGAGAAATGTGTGGAAAACTAAATCTGAATTCTGCGCATCTTAAGAGATCATTGTGTTCTGGGAGGAAAGTTCAACTTTGTGTTATCTCCGGATCTGTGGTTCATTTTTAGCTTTTTTTTTGTTGGAAACCTTGTTCTCATGGAGCTGCCATTCACCAGCTTTTCCCTGGCATGCTGCAGCCACCATGTCCCTGTGTCCTGATGCTTTGCTAGAAAAAACAGCTCTGTAAGGGTGGAAAATAGTCACTTTCCAACCCTTAGTTTTTGATTCTGGTGTGGTCCCCTTAAGCCTAAGTCTTGGGGATAATCCTGTTTTAGTGTTTTTCTAACGACTTTGGCACCAAAAAATAGAAGTATAAGTGAAATTTGCTTATGGTAAAGCTGGGAGGCAGTATCAGCAGAAGAGGATCAGCAGATCACTCAAGACTAATTGGATAGCGCTGAGGCCTGGAGTAATAGAAACAAGATAAAATGTAATGGCACTGCAAGATCACACAGTCAGTGATTAACAAGAATTCATACTCATTGGTTAAAAGTGACAGAGGATAAGAAAGCCCTGCATTTATTAGTGGGTCAGGGATGCGACAAGCTGCGAAAAAGGCAAGTGAGCAACTCGGATGTGCTCAGTGAGATTTTTGCAGCGGAGGTTGGGAAGTTAACAGGGCTCCAGAAATGCTGGTTCAAAGGGAGAGCATTTGAGAGAGGCTGTTGGGGAAGGCAGATTTGTCTTGGAGGCAGAAGACTGGGCTGCTGAGCTGGGCTGGCCTCAGGGAACAAGACAAAGAGGGGCTGGGAGAGCTTTCCTGGGCTAGTCATGGAGAGAAAGCATTGCCTAAACTGCTCAGGGGTGTGAGGACATGCTGGTGGTGGGGAAGCAGCAGCGAGGATCTCAGGGAGACCCTCTGAAGCGGGTGCAGTACTTATTTTAGGTGGGAGTAATGCACTGTGACTGCTGAGCACAGCAGGAGCAGGCTCATCCTGCACCAGGTCACCTCTCCTACCCATGGCTAGTGTGGCTCTAGGAAAACTTGTGGCTCTAGGTTTTGCACTCAGAGTGGTTTGCCAGTGTTAGTTCCATGGGAAAGCTGAGGAGATGGAGACTGAGGTGCTCTGGATGGGATGAGGAACAGCATGGTGGAAATCTGCTGGCAGAGAGGACGAGGTGCTATAAACTTCTGAGTAAAGCCAAGGATGAGGTCAGTGACCTGCTAAGGACCTTCTTGCAAGCTATCAAAAATCCTGTGCACAAAAAGGGCAGGAAATTGCAAGTGTTAAAACCTTTTTTGCAAAAAGAAAAGAGTAAGTGAAATTCAGTTACTTATCCTCTGTACTTGCTGTTTGAAACTGGCTATTGCAATGTATGAAATAGTTGAAATTAAGGAGGCCGAATGTTTCCATCCATGTTACGTAACAGGGCAAGTTAACACAGTTTCTCTGCAGCAATTCTGAACAAGGAACAAATTAATGATCCACTCTCCAAACAAACTGCCTCTGCCCGTGGACTATTAAGTATGTTTGCATTGTGCTTTTATGTTTTAACTGCTTCTTCTTTATTGAGTTTGATCCCAAAGTGTGACTGGTTTGGAGGACAGTACTCTCTTTGTAAAGAAAATTATCTGAGCTACTATCTGGGAAAAGGCTGTAGCTATGTATTAAGGATGTTGGGAGAAGAGGGAGTGACTTATTACCGTATTGGTCACATCACTGGCATGCTTTGGATAGCCCAATGAGGAGAATAATAATTAGTTGGACCGTACTAGAAAACTCCCCAACACGTGCTTTGCAGGCAGAAGGATCTGGAATTTTTCTGACTCACTCCTCTGTTTATATGCTAAGTGGCTGGCGCTGCACACCCTCTTCTCTCACCCCCACCCGGATTCTCCCGGGATGTATTTGTGATGGTTCAATGCTTTCCTGGCAGGGAACCCCAAGTTCCTAAGGGCCAGGTCGATAAGACAAGGAGGACAGGGTGCCCTAACCCGCTGCCCTCCTTCTGCAGGACGACTGCAGCGAGTTTCGCTCCCAGTTTGAAGCTGGTGGACGACTGTCCTGCACGAGGGAGAATGACCCTGTCCGGGATGCCTCTGGCAAGCAGCACACCAACAAATGTCTCATGTGTGCCGACAAGTTGTGAGTACAGCTTCCTCTGAGCCACAACAGCAACGGGGGAAAACCTCCAGCTGCAAAACTGCAGCTTTTACTTGTGAAGCTGCATCTGGGCAATGCCTGGGAGAGTCCTCACTCCCAGTGGCCCTCCAAGAGATGCTCTGACAGTAGGGCTCCAGCCATTGTCCGTTTTCCTACTTCCCTTTCAGCGCTAAGGGCCCAGGGGCAGGTGAGAAGCAGCGTGGAGTAGAGGAGGAGAAGCAAGTTTAACAGAGAGCATCTCTTTCCCAGGGGACTGTTGGGCATGGGCAGCCCCTGAGGAGTTTCCCATGCGTGTACTTTGCCTTCCAGATGCTCTCTCTCTACTCCCATAGAGCATATGCAGAAGCAGCCCTGATATGAAAGCAGCCACCTGGATCCAGGATGTAGCATACAGTGGGAATGGTGAGGAGAAGGGAGAAGGCTTAGAGGTGGGAATTAGGAACAGGACCACCAGGAACAGGGACTGTGGATGGGGAGGTGGTGCCTAATGGCATGATGCTGGCTTACAGGGCAGCCCTGGGTGCTGGTGGCACTCACGCTGCCATAGCACTATCTTTTTTTCTCCTCTTCCCTTCTTCCAGCAAAAAGGAAGCTCAAAGAGGAGGTCAGTCTGGTGGAACTGGCCAGCGTAACAGATTACCCACTTCAGAGAGGACAAACCAGGTGAGAATGAGCTTGGAGCCTTTGCTGAGCTCAGAGAAAGAGTCTGTGGGATCTGGGTGGCCAGGGACTGCCTGTGGCCAGCTTGGGGGTAATCAGGGTGCTTAGGATGCTGTAGCCAGTGAATGTTGGGGGAGATGCAGATTATACTGCAAAGCCTCACTCATTTGTGGGATGGACCTGGATGTGAGCATATAAACTGGACATATTTGGACCTGAAAGAACAGCCCCTCACTTTCCCAGTGATGCTGTATGAGAGATAAAAGACAGATTCAGATTCCTCATAATCCTGTAAGCAATTGGATGACAACATTTGGTGGGACTGGAGCGTATCGAGGCTGGTTCTCTAAGATCAGCCCTGTAATTCTCTGGGTCTGGGAGGAGGAGGGGGGGAGGGCAGGAGCTGCTTTAGCTTTGCTACTTCTCCAGTTGTATAAGAGTTGTTTCTGTGGTTATTGAATGTGACTCTTCACTTTTGCAGAAGAACTGTGGTGGTTCACGGCAGGGGGTAAATGACAGACGTCCCTTCTCAGCGGGCCGAGGGTGAGTTCAGCAGCACCTGGATTGGCAGCATGTCCTTCTGCACATAACACAAACCCTGGCACTGGTTTCTGCCCCCTTCCACCTACATGAGCTTTCCAAGGGATGGTCAGGAGGTTTATTGGAGCAGGAATGTTTTGGCAGCACATAAGCAACACTGTCTGTGATGGAGAAGTCCATGTTGTTCTGTTTGGTGCTCAGTACAGCATGTCTTTGCACTGGCTAAGCCAGTGATGGGAAAGAGACATGGTGGGGCATGTTTCTCATGCAAGCCTTGCTACTTTTTGGCCTTGACTTTGTGGACTAAGCACCAGTGATTGCTGTGCTCAGAATCCCTCTCAGGACACTTTGTCCAACAAATCCTGGCAGTGCATCCATGTGTGCCTGGCCCTGGCTCGTCCTCATCCCCTGGCTCAGAGGTAGTGCCTGGTGCATCACGTGCTTTCTGGGCACTGGTCAGGCACTCCTGTTTGTTTTGTAGCTGCTAGACCTGAGCAGGACTCAGCTGCTGCTCTTTCAGAGCCTTTTCTGGGGAACACTGAGATTTCTTGCTTTTGGCTGGTGCAATTCCTCAATCCCCCTTGCACCAAGTGATGCCAGCAGACACGGGGGTGCAGAGCCCTGGGGTGGTGGCACACTTGGCTTGGGCACAGGACAAGGTTGTCCTGCTGTTGGTTGCCTCCCTGATAGAATGTGGCTGGGGGTGCTTCTCGCCCTCTCCTATCCCCGTGAGCAGGTGGATGTCATAGTGCAAACAGCTCTCAGAGCTGTGGGGGTCTGTGGGGAGGGTGGGTTTGCACTGTGCTCCCCCTGTTTGGGAGGGTGGTGTGATGAACAGTATCTTTGTTCTCTCTGCCAGCCCACAACGAAACAAAGCTCAGCGTGGCAGGAACTGCGACCGGTCACCTGGCCGCAAGTCACAGAGCAGAGACACCGACGAGTCCCAGATGGTAAAGCCACCTCCTGCAGCTTGGATGGCAGCTGTATGGGCAGAAATGGGGACCTCTCCCACAGGGGGCTTCTCTGCCAGTGCTGAGCCCCCCCTGCTCCTTTCCCAGCAGATACTTCTGTTCTTGCTGTAACCCTAAAGCTTCTCACTTGGCCCTGTGTCCTTGGAAGGGTTTGAATGAGTGAAAGTGTCTGTACTGCGATGCCAGCCCCTGTATCACCCGGCACTAAGCAGAGGGAAGGGCTTGGCTCCTTATGGGAGTACATCAGCTGTGGGGGTGCTGGTTTTGAACTCAGGCTGGATGCCTGCCCCATATGTAACCAAACAGGGTTGAAAGTGTCACCTCCCCCCCTCACCTCCTTCATATTGTGAAGGTGCTGAGATAAAGGCCATGGCCAGAACAGGGTGATGGAGCTGACCAGGGGATGAGGACAAGATTGGCAGGAGAAGGGAGTGCTAAAGGGGGAAGCACTGAGCGGTAGATGACAAGTGTGTATGGAATAATGTGGGAGGAAGGTGGGGGTGTCTGCTCTCCCTTCTCATGAAAGAAAATGGAATAGTTCCAGCAAAGCTAAAAGTGGAAAATATGAACTAATAAGAGAAAATAAGTTACTGTAAAAAGGGTGACTAAACTGTGGATCTCACTGTCACAGGGTGTTGTCAAGAGGTAGGATGGTTAAAAAAAATTTACCTGATGTTTTAATTCCTCCAGCATTTCCATACAGTAATTTAAATAACATTTTGGAAGGGATAGGAAGTGTATTTCTATGGTGGAGAGACCTTACTACCAATTTCCGTAATTTTCCCTGAAGCCTCTGTCACTGACTGCTTTTAGAAAAGGGATATTTAAGTTAAAAACCAAGTAGATAGTTCAGGTACGGCAATTTTGATGCATTCCAGAGGAAGCATTAGGTGTAATAAGGCCAGTCTGCTTCAGGGCTTAGTGGTATTTCCTGGTAGCACTGGAGGGGGAGTGGATGCTGATGAGCCTGACGGACGAGAGGTGATTCAGAGAGCAGATCTGCTCCCCTCCTCTTTCCAGGGCCACCTGTGGGTTTTGTCACACAGTTCTCCAGAGCCAAAGGAGTGGTGGCACTGGCTGCTGGCACCTGTGATGTGTGGGGGTGCTGGTGTGGTGGCCGCCTGTCCTGGGCAGAGGTGCAGGCAGAGACGTCTGGTGCGTAGGAAGGCACTGAGCAGAGGATTGCAAAGGTCAGCATTGTCTGCTTTCACATCACCAATAATTACCCAGATGAGGGAGGAAGCAGCACATTACTGAAATTAGCAAGTGATGTTTAACTAGCAAGTGCTATCACAGCACCCCAAGATCACAGAAACCCCCCTACAGCACCTGGCATGAAATCTTCCTTCCCTGTAGTGCTTCCTACCCTATAGGGCTATTGATAAAACATCATTTCTGTGCTAAATACTGCATCTCAAGGTGGAATGGGAAGTGGAATGCCCTCTCAGTCCCACTGTACCATTTGCAGTCGTTGCAACATATTTTGTAGCACCTGGAGGTGGGGTTGGGAGCCCATTAGTCACTTTTTTGTCTCGGTCTTTTCTCAATGCCTGGAGCAGCGGTGGGTGGCGGAGCTGAGGAAGGGGCTATATGTGCCAGGGAACAGGCTGTGCTATCCCTGACCTCTGCTGTTGGAAATCTGCTATGACTCTGCAAACACTCGCCCCGCTCTGCTGGTAGGGCGTGAGAGGCTTTTTTGGGGTCTCCAGAGGTCACTCCTTGGTGCTGTGAGTTTGTCCTGGCTGTGCCACGTGTGGTTTGTAAGGAAAACTGTGCCTAAATGTTCCTGTTGCCATGCTCGAGAGGAAACAAGAGGGCACCCCTCATTAGTCATAGCTGCTCAGATATGCTCGTGTCTGTCGACGCAGTGGGCGGCAGAAGTTGTGCTGCGTGTCGCACCGCCCTCGGGCAGCGCCAGTCTGCTGGAGACGTCTTCCCTTAATTTTGGCCAACGGGTTTCGTCTTCATTCTTGGAGATGAAATGGCATCAAAGCCCTGATAAGGAGGACTAGGAACAGGTAGCAGAAGTTTGCCTTCTTGTGGATTCACAGTGAGAGGAATAAACCCGCCCAAGACCGTGGTGTCGAGGTGGATCAGATGAGTGGGGCGTGAGGCCTCTGTTCCCAAAAGCTTGACTGGCTGGTCCAACAAGAGACACAATCTCTTTCCAAGCCCTGGCTGGAGGTGTGATGGACATGCTAGAGGGCAGAGGGGCCCCACGCAGGGCTTGGTTTATGAGCACTTTTAAGTCATGTAAAGGCTCTTGCAAATGAACCAGCACCAAATGTGATTTCTTTGTCTCTTCAGCTGGACTGTGATCGAATCCTGCACGGGGTAAAGGGTGGAAGGATTTTCTGCAGCGAATCCTCACAACCAGTCTGCGGCACTGATGGGAAAACATACAAAAATGAATGTGACTTGTGTTCAGCTGCCATGTGAGTAGGCGGAGAGATTTCACTAATACAGGGCCATCCACCATTCCCGAGTGTCTTTTGCGGAACAGTGTTTGTTTTGATACATCATGACTCACTATCAAGTGTGTCCTCGGTGCTTTGCTGTTAAGCAAACATAGATCAAAATGCCTGAGATTAATCTGATGACAGCTAATTAAGATACACAAGTTGCCAGGGTCCCCTATTCCCTTTCTGCCCAATCCCAGATTGTTTGGGGAGTAATAAATGCCACCACATTGGAAGTAGCATCAAAGCATTAAGGAGTCCACAGAGGACTGTCATGCTGATGGCAGAGAGCTGTGGCATGCAAGTGAATAATGAGCCATGTCTTGTCCTCCCTTTGCAGGAGAGCTTCAAACTTCATCACGTTAAACCACCAAGGCGAGTGCCGAGAGCCTGCCCCTGAACTGGTAAGTGGCACACCACGGCTGGGCTGTGAACATCAATCTTTTCCCTTCCTCTGGTGAAACTCCCCCACTGGCACTGTCTCAGCCTGTGGGGATCTGATCCAGGCAGCCACAGTGGGAAGTGAGGAATGAGAAGTAGCTGGCACTTAGTCATGAACTGCAGGGGGGGGTCTACACTTAGACCCTGCTGGCAGGTTAACTGAGTTAGCTTGTTTGTCCAGTTAACACTGGGATAACTAAAGCCATGCTCTGCGGCTGCTTTTCAGCCACATTAGTTGGGAGGGAGGAGAGGTATTGGAACCCCCATCTCTCTTCCTCCTCCCCTTTGTTTTTCTGGAGGGGTATGTTGCTGAGATGTGGAAGAAAAAGTGCCTCTTGCTGTGTGTAGCATCCCATTTTTCACTCCAGGTGCCTGCTGGGAAGCCAACCTGGCCTCTGCCATCTGTGACAGGATTGGGTGTTCATGGTCCAGATGTTTAAATACAGGTTGAGACTTAGATTTAATATATAACCTGGGCATAGTCTCCATGTTTTCCTTAGCTCTACAGTAGGAGAGTGATGGAAAAAACCTGAGTTTCCTCCTGGGACTTTGGTTTGACTAGGAAGACCACAACTGTGTAAACTATAAATGGCTGCTTCCCTAAATAATACCCAGGGAGATGGTTGGGAAATCAAAACTATTCACTAGGTGGCATACTTTCGGGAAAGGTCTTGACATCTTGTGTAATCCCACATAGCAGATGAGTTAAACATTTCTCAGTTGTGCTTTGTCGTTCTACCAGTGGAAGCCTGACAGTCTCAAGCACTTTGATTTGCAGCCTGTGTCTCCCAGTTTGTGTCTGAGCGCACAGGATGTCCTGTGACACCCAGGGACAACTTCACTGGCATGAACTCTTGAGAAGCTGAATATTCATACCAAGGGAAATAGAGATTTGTTTCCACTCTAAACCTATAGATGATCCAAATATTGAACCTGCCAAAGAGAAGTTCTGAAAAGTTCTGGATGGAGCTTTGACTTCTGAATAAGAATGTGGTATCCACGGGTTTGTAGGCGACAAGGAGCTGTGAGGTATGAGAGCAGTCATGCCATGCCTTCCTTTGCTCAGTGACAGGATGCCCCCAGATCCCCAAGACACTAAGAACTGAACATCTTAGCTCTTTTGCCCCTCTTCTCTAAAGCAGCAGGGTGCTCTAAACTTTGTTTCAAGTTGAAAAAATAGTAGTGCAGAGGGAAAGAGTTTTACCTGTGATGGTACTGGAGGCTTTTGTGTCTTGATTTTTAGTGAGATGGAGCCACTGTGAATTCTGGGGGCACAGGAAGACCAGGCAGTACATGAGTCTTAGTGACTGTGCTCACACTGCTCGAGACAGAAGAGACTAGTACACTGTGGCAACAGAAGAGTAGAGAGGATTCCCACAAAACTGTACCTGGAATTCCTGACTGTTTCATGTTTTACCACACTGTTACAGCTCTCAAGCCATTGCAATTAGAGGGGGATGCCATTTACTGAAAGTCACAGCTTGTAGCTGTGTTAAGTATTCCAAGGAGAGCTGAATGCAATTAAAAGGGAAAGTGATACGCTTTTTCTGAGGGGCAAGAAAAGTTAAACAAAAAGCCCCATGCACAATGATTTATTCTTTGGTGGTTTTTTTTGGTTTTTTTTTTCTTTAGTCACCTGAAGGATCAGACTGAAAATTTATGGGAGCTTATAAACAATGTACAGAGCAAAGCTGAATTTCAGCACTGAAATTCATGCTCACTTTCAGTATAATGAATTTTTCTTTCTGCTGAAGATTCAGGCACTGAATATATACCACTAAAACCTGGAGGAAACTAGCTTCCAGCAGTGCTTTTGGCATCAGAAATAGGTTTAGAGAGTTGCAATGTGCAGAATATGAAATGCTTTGGAGGAAGATAGGAAACTGTTACCCAAAAAATGTAGTATTTCCTTGAGTTATTTTTAATATGTCCATAGAGAGTGCTGGGTTGCCTGAGAAAATGTGTGTTCAAGCTGCCTCATCCCTTTGCAGCTCAGTGCCTGCATCCGCTCCTGCCTGCAAAGCTGCAGCTGGATTTCCATGTGTTTCTGACAGCTCTGGTAACCGATGGCCATCAGGGAAGGATGCTTGTAGGAAGGGGTGGGAACAATGTGGTTTGATAGAGAGCCGATACTAAAGGGTGTTTCTGTGCACGACTGAGGTGGAAAACCTCGCTGCAGAGTCAACCTGTCCCCACTGGCCAGGGTTGGGTCTTGCCACCTTGCCTGGGAGGTCTGTGCTGTAACTGAATTCCTTTGATCCTGTTCTGCTTTACTGATGAGAAATGTAGGTCGGCATCCTGAGTTTAGATATATATTTTTTTTTTTTGTAAGTTAACTGGCTGGCATGTCCTGCAGTGCCGTGTCACAGGGATGGATTGATTGTGGGTCTTTCCAGCACATTTGGCTTTTAATGCTGCATATCTTGCAGTTCCTCTACTTGTTCAAAGAATTTTCCACAGATCACCCAGGCAGTAGTCACCAGTCTGCCCAAATTAGTCAATACGTCAGGGGGAAAAGTGCAGTTTCTCCTTCTTTTTTTTTTTTTTTTTTTTTTTTTTTTTTTTTTTTTTTTTTTTTT